GCTTCCCCACATTCTTGAGATTCCTATGGCTTCTATACAGTATGGGTTCTCACATTTTCACTAATGTAGTAGCAATTATACTTTCCCACATTTCTTACATGGGTTTTCTCCAATGTGACTATTCACATTGCTTTGAAAAAAATCAGTGTATGTTAAGACTTTCCTAAACTCCAAATATTAATAGAATCCTCTCTAGTATGAGTTGTCATGTTTCCTCAAGCATGATGATAGCTGAGGGCATTTCATACATTCACAGTGTTTCTCACCAATGTGCACTATCACATGTACAGTGAAATCTGAAGAATGGAAGAAATGTTTGTCTCCAGTTGTGCTCATGTGGCTATTAAAGGAAGAGAGGAAACTATAGACTTTCCCATATTCCTTACATACATGGAGCTTCTTTCTGTTATGTTTTCCCATTTTAGAGTAAGCTTTGGGGAATAAAGGAAGAGAGGAAACTGTAGACTTTCCCATATTCCTTACATACATGGAGCTTCTTTCTGTTATGTTTTCCCATTTTAGAGTAAGCTTTGGGGAATAAGTGAAAGTTTACCCACATTCCTTATATTTGATGTCTCTGGATTGTGAGTTCTTAGATGTACAGTAAGGAATATGTAAGAAATAAAGGTTTTTTCACATTCTTTTATAGTCATGTGGTATGGTATATTTTTGATGTAAGTTCTCACATATGCCCTAAAAGAGTGTGGAACAGCTGATTCTCCCACACTTTTTATATGCATTGAATTTCTCTCCAGTAAGAATTATTGCATTTCTGAGGGATGGAAGCAAATGGAAAATTTCTTCATATTTTTTACATTATATGAATATAAGTATAACATGAGTTCTTGCATGTAAAGCAAAAGATAAAAATGAATAAAGACTTTACTACATATGTATATCCATAATATTTTTCTCCAGTGCAAATTTTCATGAGTCCCAAGATACAAAGAACAGCTAAACTGTTCTTGGCATCCCTTACATTATGATTTGTGTCCAGTGTGTGGTTCCATTTGAGTCTTAATAAGTGAATAATTAATGAAGGGTTTTTTTTCATCCAATGAATTTGTACAATTTCTCTTCAGTATGAGTTCTCTTGTGCACAATTAAATTTGGAACCTGACTGAAGGCTTTTCCACACTGATTACCCTCATTATATTTCTCTCCAGTATAGAATATCTTACACACAGTAGATAGTAAGTTCTTTCTGAAATATTTTCTAATTTGGTTATATTCATTGAGGTTCTCCACCATATGAATTCTTAAATCTCTCAGGTGTCTTACAATAATTTTTTGTGTCATGACTGAAAAAGATGAGGATTACATAATAGGTAGGGTTTTTTTTACATTGTACGTGAAGTACTATAATACTACTTCAGGTAGATTGTTATAGGTAAAGGCTATATATTCTTATCCTTAGAGGTAATAAACCCAGAATAGTATAGGTAAAAGTCAATTTAGGATATAAAATGGAATACCAAAAAATACACAAGTAAGCCAAAAGAAGAAAGAAAATGAGAAACAAAGGAATAAAAACAGAGTATAAATAAAAATGCAACAGACACAATTGTATAAATAATTATATTAAATATACATGAAATAAATATCCAATTAAAAGGTGTGATGAGTGGATTTAAAAAAAAAACAAGATCCAACTCTACATAGTTTACAAAATATGTTCTTAATTATAAAGAGAGAATGAAAATGCCCTAGCTGGTGTCTCAGTTTGTTGGAGCATCATCCCATGCACAAAAAGCGTGTGGGTTCAGTTCCTGGTCAGGGAATTTGCTTAGGTTGCAGGTTTGATCAATGGTTGGAGTACATACTGGGAGGCAACTGATAGATGTGTCTCCCTCACATCAGTGTTTCTTTCTCCCTTCCTCTTTCTCTAAAATCAATCAACATATCCTCAGGTGAGTATTTTTTTTTTAAGTTACTAAAAAAAGAGAGGATGAAGCCCTGGCTGGTGTAACTCAGTAGACTGAGCACAGGCTGTGAACCAAAGGGTCGCTGGTTCAATTCCCAGGCAGGGCACATGCCTGGGTTGCCAGCCAGGTCCCCAGTGGGGGCCACTTGAGAGGCAACCATACGTTGATGTCTCTCTCCCTCTCTCCCTCCCTTCCCCTCTCTCTAAAAATAAATAAAATCTTTTTTTAAAAGAGGATGAAATTAAAAGGATAAAAAAATGATGTCATACAAACTCTAAGTGTAACAAATATGAGGTGACTATTAATCTGAGATTTAAAGAATTATTAGAGATTGAAAGGGATGTTTCATAATGATTAGTGTTAATTCATCAAGAAGATAAAATAATCCTATATATGTGCATATCTAATAATAGAACTTCAATAACATGGGTTTTTTTTAAATTCTAGAAATAAAAGAAATAAAACCACAATCATAGTTGAAGAATTTAACATTTTTATTTCAGTAGTTGATAGAACAAGTAGGATAATGGTAAGAATAAAGAAGATTTAAACATTATTATCAAGCAACTTGGTTTAATCAATATTTATAGAACACTACATACATTTATTTCAAATACACAAGGAAACTCACCAAGATAATCTGTATGTTAGACAACAACAACAAAACAACAAAACTCAATAATTTCAAAGGGTTTAAATGATATAGACTATGTTCTCAAACCAAAACAATTATTCTGGATATAAAAGTGATATCCCTGGATATTTGGAAATTAAACAACACACCTCTAGTTACCCAGTGGGTCAAAGAAGAAATCATGAAAGAAATTACAGATAAATTCAAGCTAAATGGTAGTAAAACCATGATATCAGAATTCATGAAATGCAGCTTAAGTAATATATAGAAAAAAGTGTATAGCTTTAATTTATATTTTATATATTTAATCTATATTAGAAAAGAAAGGCACAGAGTCAAAAATCTAAACTTTCAGAGAAACTACAAAAGGAAAACTAAAACCAAACTAGGTATAAAAAAAGAAATGAAAACATAAGAGTGGAAGACAAGGAAATAAAACAGAAGTCAATAGGAAAATAACAAAAATGAGGTTTTTTAAAAAAAGATTAATAAAATTGATACACTCACAACAATATTGATAAAAATAAAAGGAGAGAATACATATTTTTCCAATATCCAGAATGAAAGAAGGGCATCATATAAACATACAGAAAATATGATAAAGAAATATAATCAATAACTTCAAGCCAGTAACTTTAACACTGTAGATAAAATGGGCAAATTACTTAACAGGAGTCACCAACTACATAAGAGGGGATAAAAAGCTGGAATTACAGTATACCTAAGACATTAAGTTTGCAATTGAAAGCTCTTCCCACAAAAAAAGTTAGCCATAGAAGGCTTCTGTGATATATTCTATCAAATACATAAAGGAGAACTAATAAATATCTTAAATAAAGTCTTTCCTCAAAGAGAAAAGGAGGGAACAATTGCCAACTCATTTTGAGACCAGTATAACTCTGAAACTAAAATCTATCAAGGGCATAACAAGAAAAATTACATATATACACATATATATCTCAAAAACATAAATGCAAAAATTCTCAACAGTGTAGTAGCAAATTAACTTTTCCTAATATATAATATTTTTCACACTGCTGCATGCCACCTGGAAGAAAAACATATAAACAATTTGCTTGCAATAACAGTTATACAGGTGCTCTTCCATTCCCAGTCTGCAGGAATTCAGTTCATCAGATCTGCTTGGATATCTTTGTATTCTTCCACTGCTGCTGCTGCTATCCCATATTCAGAGTGGAGAGGAACTTCATTCACATCCAGTGTTCAGATTCCAGTTGTGACCACCATCACCACTGCTGTGATGTTCATTTGAATTTAGAAGTTGGATTTCATTCTTTTTTTTAAATTGTTGTTCAAAAAAATGGAAACAACCAACAGGACCAGGACTGGGACAAGGCAAATATCTCAGAAGCAAAATCAATGGGTCACCCCAAAACTTGGTAGTAAAGACAGACACTGTTTAATCCAATATTCCAAAATATCAAACTTAATGAAAAATTCATGATGAACAAAATTTCAGTGTTTAAATAAAGACAGGATTCAGTCTTACACTTACACAACTTGTCCTCACCCTAATCCCAGTCTTGTCACATCCTGATGTCAAACTTATTGTTTCCCAACTTCATTGGGGGATAAGAAACCATATCTATGTTGTACCTCTCTCTCTCTCTGCTAGGCTGCTCCTTCAAGGTCAAGAAGGCTACAAAACTCTAAATCAAATAATGCTGCGATGTTACATTTGCAAGAAGAACTCCTTTTAGTTTGCTAATATGACCTCTTGTAGAATATGTTACTAATGCCAATTTTCCAACATTTATGCCAACATTAAAGGAAAATAGCTTTACAATATAAGAAAAATATAGAAAAGTAACACTTCTCTGATATATATATATAAAATCATCCCCACCACCTACTAATGCTACTTCCCTAGACACACACATGCACATGCACACATGCTCAAATGCACAAATGTACACAAACACACACAAACACTGGGTGTAGCCGTAAAGTTCAAAAATTGTTTGAGGCATGACCATTCATAAATAATGATAGAGTCCTATTGAGTTTTTCATGATTATGCTGATAAACAAAGTAATGCTCTTTTCAAGGTATTCCAGATCAATCCATGAAAGATGTAAGTATTAATCCTTTGGAGATGCCTTTAAATTCTACACTTTACCAATAAAATATTTTTAAAGTGAGTTGCAAAAGGAGTAGTGGATACTGATGGACACATTGTGGTCGCTGGGCCTGTTTCAGAACATGTACCTCCTTATATTGAAAAGGTTGCTAGGTATTTCTGCTCCTCCCTCCAGGCAGGTTCTACCAAAGCATGTAGATTACTGATATGCTTATGAAATTTTTAAGACTCATACTTAGTCAATTCATTTTACTAAGTAAAATTTTGGGCCCTGCTATTTACCTGTCTGAGAGGGAAACCAGTGTTCTGGATTGCTGGATAAACACTGTAGCCATCTTGTAGGATACCACTAACACAGTTCTAAATGTTTGACTGGCATTTATCAGCTCATCTTGTTCTATTCTCAAAAACTGAGTGTTTTGGGTTGCTACCATCCAGGAATATTTCTTTGAAAGTTCAATTACCTGTAGATGTTTGTATTAGCCAAACTGCATGAAGATAAACACTCAGCCACAGTAGCTCAGAATACTGTGCTTAGTTAATACCTAAGGGAAAGCAAAACTACTTTTCTGACAAACATCTCAAACATCTTTAATAGGCAACCTGAGACCTAGTCAGACAACTATGCAAGTGAAGCTTGCAAGTGAAGCTTACACGTGAGGAAGAGAGATGTGTCGGTTTGGAATGCACTTGTCTGTGATCAACAGAAACCCCAATTAGAGTTGTTAGTCACATAGGGGTTTGTTTATATTATGCAGTCTGGGAGAAAGTAGTATGCAGTTGTTGCAGCAGCTTAACAATGCTGTAAGAAACTAAGCGACTTTCCATCTTATCGTACTCAGCATACAGACCTTTGTTTTATAGTACTCATCTTATGGCTGCAGGTCGACTACTTCAGCTCAAGGCTTCCTCCTCAATACCCATGCCAGTTAAGAAAAAAGGAAATGGGAAAAGACCTTAGGCACATGCCACCCCAGACTAGACCTTTCAAATATATTTCCTTTAAGCCCAATCCTTCAATGATATTTTTAAATTGTTAGCAATAATGGAGTTAAATGATGTACTGTCTTGCAGGGAATTATGGGAACATGAATATTTTGGCCTAGGAAAAGACAAGTGGGGTTGGAAATGGATTTTTTTTTGTAGACACATGCATTCATTTCCTATTGCAGCTGTAATAAATTACCATGAACTTAGTGGCTTAAAAACATATATTTATTATCTTACAGTTCTGGATATTTTATATAAAGTCTTTCCTCAAGGAGAAAAGGAGGACACAATTGCCAACTCATTTTGAGACCAGTACAACTCTGAAACTAAAATCTATCAAGGGAATAACAAGAAAAATTACATATATATACATATATGTCTCATAAACATAAATGCAAAAATTCTCAATAGTGTAGTAGTAAATTGAATTTTCTTAATATACAATATTTTTCACACTGCTGCATGCCACCTGGAAGAAAAACATAAACAATTTGCTTGCAATCATAGTCATGCAAGTACTCTTCTATTCCCAGTCTGCAGGACTTACCAGTTTAACTATGCTCAAGTTAAGGTAAGGCTGCACTCCTTTCTTGAGGCTCTAAGTAAAAATAAAATTTTCTTGCCCTTGCTAGCTTCTAGATGCTACCTGAATTCCTTCACTTGTAGCTCCCTTCCATCTTCAAAGTCAGTAGTGGCTGGTTCAGTCCTTTTCACGTGATTTCACTCTGATACCAACTCTTCTGCTTCCTACTTCCACTTCTTCTTAAGGGTTCTTGTGATTATGCTGGAACCACCTGGGTAATCTAGAGCAATCTCCTTATTTAAAGGCCAGCTGGTATCAACCTTAATTCCCCTTTACCACATAACACCCCTGGTTTTCTGACCAGAACATGCTTTCCTGATCATGAATCTCCTCGTTTTAGCATGTTTCACAATTTAAATAGGCCATAAATTCCCCAAATCATTAAATTCTGGTTCCTTTTTGCTTACAAATCCTTCCCTCACACTATCTCATCCTCTCACTTTTTGCTAAAAGCAGCAAGAAGAAACCAGGCTGCAACTTCAGCCCTAGCCTGGAAACCTTCTCTCAAAATATCCTAGTTCATTGTTCACAAGTCCTTCTTTGCACATTTCCACTGAAGGACACAATTCATAAGTTTTCTGCCACTACATAACAAGAATTTCCTTTCCTCCAGCTTCCAATATCATTTTCCTCATTTCTGTAAAGCAGTATAAGTTTTCCCCACCATACTCCTTACTTTCTTCAGAATCTTTGCTATCAGAGTTGTTCACATCCATATTTAAACTAATAGTCTGTCCAAACAAATCCAAGCTTTTTTTGATCATGCTCTTTAAAAATTTTCCAGCCTCTGCTCACTGCCTAATTCCAAAGCAACTTCTACATTTTCAGTTATTCATTACAGCAGCGCTCCACTTCCAGGTGCCGACTCCATATCAGTCAGGGTTCAACCAGAGAAACAGGACCAGCAGGAGATACATATTAAGAGATTTGTTGCACAAAAGTGATTTACTCAATTGTGAGAGCTGACTAGGTAAGTCCAAAATAGAAAAAGCAGGCAATTAAAAAGGGCAGGCTGCAACTCTGGGCACAAGCTGCAGCTGCTGTCCATGGTCATAATTTCCTTTCTTCTTCTCTTTTTTTAATCTCAGGGGAAGACTCAGCTATGCTTTTAAATCCTTTCAACTGGCTGAATCAGGCCCACCCAGATCATTTAGGATATTTTCCCTATTTTAAGGTTAGGTGATTAGCAACCTTAATTCCATCTGAACCTGACACCCCTTTTGCAATATAACATAAAATATTCACAGGTTCTGGGGAATAAGATGAGAACATCTTAAGGGGGCCATTAATCTGCCCACCACACCATTCTATAAAGTATCTACAAAGGTAAGAGGCTCCTGGAGGTAGAGGAGTCTTGACAATGGAGCTGATTATTTCTTCAGATCATTCATCACTCCCATTAACATATCTTTAATACATTTTCTTTAATTAATATTAATGCATTTTTTCAGATTCCATATCAACCAGAATAATATCATGGCCCAGGGCAAGTAAATAGATACTGGCCTGCTGTACCATCCAAAGCTCCTCTAGGCCCATAATTTCTCTCCAATAGCAAGACACAATTTCAGGCAATGCATTACCTGACCCTAGAGTCTATTGACCTTTAGAGTTTATAGAAACAAGTTAAACACAGTCAATCTGGGTACCAATAAACTGCACAGAACTCTTATCAGGATTATAGCTTCAGTTAAACATGAGGAAGAACTCAGGAGTTTTTCAACATTAGAAAAGGAAGGAAGGAGCCTTGACTCAGGATGGTAAACACACAATATAATATATAAATGTTGTATTGTAGAAATGTATACCTGATACCTACATAATTTTATTAACCAATGTCACCCCAATAAGTTGAATAAAATAAAATAGATAACAAAGATATATTTTCATGCGATAGTATGTATTTTACAGTGAAACTCTAATAATTACAAGTGTAATTTTTATAAACAGCATAAAATTATAATGACTGCCTATTGATAAAACAAAAATGCAAGCAGAGCTCAAAAGAAACTGAACATGGGTGAATACAAACTAATTCTGCCCTGAACAGAAAATGGATTGTAAAACAAATCATAGTGGTGTAAATAATAAAAACTAAAAAACCCACAAAAAACTCTGATAATTTAAAAATGAAGTATGATAGAAGGGACTCAGATATTTATATGTAGTGTCATATAGTAATAGGTGAATAATTTTAAAATTAGAATTATGGTTTTTTGAAAGGTTAACTTTCATTATTACCCATTAGTGCTAAAAATTTAGTCAGAAATATGACATTTTTGATACTTTTACTAATAATACAATAACTGGAAAATATAAGACAATAAAACAAAGAACAACTTTCTAAGGAAAATAATGAAGAAAAGAAAAAAACAAGTAAAATTGAAGGCTACTAATGGATTTGAAAGAAAAGGAAAAGGAGACAACACTAATGTTGCAAGTGGGGAAGTCTCAGATTCCTAAACTGTTATGGAATGTTGGATTTCCCTCTGACTTCCTCCCAATGTCCTGGCCTAGAATATTGGGGAAGATAGGCTTTAAGAATTTGAACTCATTACTCTCAGAGTCTCCCGTCAGACACACCTCATACTGGTAGCTCTGGGACAGGGTCCCAGTACCGGTGACGTCCACCAGGTGGCCCGGAAAGTGGGCCTCAGGCACCGAGCAGCCGCCCACCAAGCCGGCCCTGCTCCTCTTGCACAGCCGCACCGCGATGAACGCCAGCACCGAGAACAGGAAGAGCGACGACACCGACGCCAACGCCACGACCAGGTAGACCGTGAGCAGGTCGGTCTGGGCCACCTCGGCTGCCACCTCGGGCAGCGGCAGGTAGGGCTGTGAGAAGCCATCCACCAGCAGCACGTGTAGCGTGACACTGGCCGATAGAGGCGGCTCGCCATTGTCCTTAACCAGCAGCAGCAGCCTGTGCTTGGCCGCGTCGCGCTCGCTCAGCAGCCTCGCGGTGCGCACCTCCCCGTTGTGCGCCCACACGCTGAACAGCCCGGGCTCTGTGGCCTTGAGCAGCTGGTAAGACAGCCAGGCGTTCTGGCCCGAGTCGCTGTCCACCGCCACCACCTTGCTCACCAGGTAGCCAGGCTCAGCCGCCCTGGGCACCAGCTCGGTGCAGGGCGCAGAGCCGTTCTGCAGCGGGTACAGCACGAAGGGCGCATTGTCGTTGGCGTCCAGCACCTGCACGCGCACCAGCGCCTGACTGCTCAGTGCCGGGGACCCGCGGTCTGTGGCACCCACCAAGAACTCGAAAGCCTGCAGGGCCTCGAAATCCAGCGCCCTCAGGGCGAAGAGGTGGCCGTTGTCGGCGTTGATGGACACCAGCGAGTCCAGGGGCAGGCTGGGGTCCTGGGGCTGCAGCAGCGAGTAGGTGACCTGGGCGTTGGCGCCCGCGTCTCTGTCTGTGGCTCTGACACTGCCTATGTGCATGGCGGGGCTGTTGTTCTCGGGGATGAAGAGAGTGTAGGAGGTTTGGGTGAAGGCTGGGGCGTTGTCGTTAACATCAGAGACCAGTATCGTTATGTCATGCTCTGTTTTCAGCCTGGGTGTGCCCATGTCCATAACTGTAATAGTGACATTATACTCAGCTTTGGTCTCTCTGTCCAGAGCCCCATTTGTAACTAGTGTGTAGAAATTCTCTTCGGTTGGTTTGAGGAGGAAGGGGAGATCATCTGGGATGGAGCAAGTCATCCTTCCGTTGTTCCCGGAGTCCAGGTCTCCAATATGAAACAGGGCCACTTCTGTCTCTGGGGAATTTTCAGGAATGGGGCTGGTAAGTGATGAAATAGTTAGGTCTGGGTAATTATCATTAACATCCACCACCTCAATGGAGACTGAACATTTTCCAGAAAGTCCCCCGCCATCAGAAGCATCTATATCCAGCTCATATGAGGATATTGTCTCAAAATCTAGTGTTTTGATTAGTCGAACTTCTCCAGAAAGGCTGTTTACTTCAAAAGTTTTGCTTATCTCCTGAGAACTATATGAAAGGGAGTATGATATCTCTCCATTTGTCCCAGTGTCTAAATCTCTAGCAGAAACCTTGACAACTAGGGACCCTACAGGGCTGTTCTCTGGAACCTGCACTTGGTAGAGCATCTGAGCAAACTCCGGGGCATTGTCATTGACGTCCAAGACCAAGATGTGGACCTGGGCGGTGCCGGACCGCGGTGGAGAACCGCCGTCCTGCGCTGTGAGAGTTAGTCTGAGCTCAGCCTGCTCCTCACGATCCAGCTCTTTGTCCAGCACCAGCTCTGGGTATTTCCTGCCATCTCCACGGTTGCGGATGGAAACATGAAAATGGGAGTTGGGGCTGATGCTGTAGTTTTGGATGTTGTTCTTGCCCACGTCGAAGTCCTGGGCTTTTTTCAGAGGAAACACGGCCCCAGGAGGGCTAGCCTCTGGGATTTTCAGCGTCATTTCTCTTTCAGGAAACTCAGGAGAATGATCATTTATGTCTCTCACCAGTAGCTCAGCTCTAAATACTCCCAAAGGTTTTTTCAGTAACACTTGGAAATGCATTACACATGGATCGGTGGGGCCACACATCTCCTCCCGGTCCAGTTTCTCATTTAATATCAAGTTCCCAGTCTGCAGATCAAGCTGCAATTGGGGTTCGTTATCCTTAGTAACCACCCGGGCTCCCCGCGCAGCTAGCTCTCCCTCTCCTAGCCCCAAGTCCTTGGCCAGATTGGTCACAAACGTGCCGCTCTCGGTTTCCTCCACCACGTAATAGCGACGGGATTCCCAGCCAGCCAGAGCCACTTCCACCAAAAGAAAGAGAATCAGGACTTGCCTTTGTTTAGGAAAGCACTCCCCTCCGGCCTCCATCTTTATTCCACAAGCACCTTTCCAGGAACCGGGCCCAGCTCTACGTTAGGGAGCAAAGGCACTGAGACAGTGATGAATGTCCCTGTCGGTAATCTGTCCGGAAATGTCGGTGGGTTGCATTATCTGGAGACTCAAGGTCCTCAGCTCCGTTTACAGGCTTCTCTCCTCCGCTAGAGATCTGAGGTAGAGTCAGTTGAATTTCCTGGGGTTTTTTTGTTTTGTTTTGTTTTTCTCCTACGCCTTAGCCTGCAGCGCCACCATGCGTTGCTTTCTAAAAGAACTCCTACAATTGTATTCTCTGTGTATCTGTAATAATCAAGTAATCCCAGCAATCTACCTATCCAGTAATACCAATAATCTATTGTGAGTTAGGAAATGTCTTGGGAATATAATGTAATCAGAAAACCATGTAATTAAAATTAGTTATTCCTTCATCAACGATGTATTATTGATATCTATGTGTCGATTATGAAATACATTAGTAAAAACTCCAGACATGGTTTCTGTCTTCTAGAACCTGTAGTCTGGGTGGGGTGCTCTGAGTAGAACTAAGAGATGAAAGAAGACTTAGTGGTGATCAGTCCTTTTGTAAAAATAACAGTGTATACCTATGTGATTTCTTGAAATTCTCTCAGTACAATAAAAAGGACGAATTTCTCTAGATTGTCTTTCAAATTTTAGGCAGCCTATGTGCTGGAATTGTGGCTCTCATTGGTTAAATAATTTCAAGGAAAAAGCTACTAGTTAATTGCAGTTTACATATCATTTCTACATAGTTAGAGAGTTATGATTTGATGACTTTCAAGCTACGGGAAAATGCATATGAGGGCATTTCTGTAGCTCTCAGCCAGCTTCCTCTTTTTAGCATTGATCACCATCAGACATAGCATATACACACATGATTATTTCTTCTCTGTGTCATCTTTGAGATCCAGTACTTTGTTTTGTTCTCTTTTATGTCCCTAAACAGCTAGTCCCTGGCACATGGTAGATGCTCAATGAATATTTGTTGAATAGATCAATGGATAAATCACAACTAATGTAAAATTTTTGACAGATGAATTCTCCTTCTAACATAAAAGCCTACTTTTTTTGCTGAGATCTTAGTTCATCATATGAGACACCATGTTCTAAGTAGCTATTTTCTATGCTTTTTCTGAATAATAATTTTAAATAATTCAGGATAACCTAAAATGGTTTTCCTTGAATGGCAAAATACCCTGGCTCCCCCTAAATAAAAGGATACATTATGAAAAAGAAAGAACATCACAAGCAGGTTATAATGATTTTACAAATAAGGCATACATTTCTTTAAAATGTGTTATTTTACACTAATGCTATTATGACACTAATGATATTAAAAACTATTTCTTATATAGAATTTTCTAAGACTCTCTGATAAATACTTCATAAACTATACAATTTGGAAATATCCATTAAAATTATGTAGCCTGACAAAAGCTTGTGTTTGTCCCTTATAGACTACTACTATTCTACCACCTTCTATTTTAAAAATATTTTATTTATTTTTAGAGAGAAGGAGGAGGGGGAAAGAGAGGGAGGTAAACAATGTGCAAGAGAATGAATGGATCAGTTGCCTTTCACACATCCCCAACTGGGGACCTGGCTGGAAATCCAGGCATGTGCCCTGACTGGGAATCAAACCAGCAACCTTTGAGTCCACAGGCCAGTGCTCAATCCACTGAGTCACACCAGCCAGAACTCCACCACCTTTTGACCTAAATATTGTTAAATTTACTGACAACTGAAATTTTTAAATGTCAAATTAATAGTAAGTTTCATGCCATACAAGAATATCTATACATGCTTTTGAAAAGTGAAAAAACCCACCTAATTATCTTAATTAGAGGAAAATTTATTAACAGAGCATTTGCTTTCAAAAACCCAAGGGAGAAAGCACACTTGGGAGAAACTAAAAAATGTATCTTCTTCCTTCTTGTCTCTAAGTGAATTGATTTTCTATACTTCTTTCCATGTATTTAGCCAACATGATACCATTTTCTTATTAAGTTCCTAACAAAGAGATCATTTTATATCTGGTGTCTAAAGCTACTTTTTAAACAGAGAGAATCAGATTGGCAGAGCGTGAATCAGTAACGTCTACTACCTTTTCTGATTGAAATCACCAAAAAAGGTGATTTATTCAAATAAACATGGCTGCAACAGCAGACATCAACTGAAGAGAGAAGTTTCCAGGAAGAGATGTGGTGGAATCTATTATTTAAACATTTGCAAATATTCTAATACTCTTGCAATATGGTGACTGGAGATGATTTGACTTTGGGTGGTGGGCACACAATGCAATATATAGATCATGTATCACAGAAATGTACACTTCAAAATTATATAATCTTATTAACCAATGTTACACCAATAAATGCAATTAAAAATAATACTCATAAGTATCATACATGAAAGGTTGATAGAAAGAGGTGAAAACATTTCAAGCATGGCAGAATGTAGTTTTTTCTATTTAATATCACTGTGGAAAAAACATGCAATTTTTGTAGACATTTCTCCATTTAAAAATTTAAGACAGGAAGGCATAATATATTAAACTGAAGATACAGTAATACTCACTATATTTGTATCATGCTCATCTGCTAAGAAACCACAACTAAAATTTTAAAAATGTTTCTAGACAACATTCAAACAGAGAATGGTGCTAGAGTTATCTTCAAATCAATAGTGGTTGATGATGAAAAGTTGATAAATTGAACAAATATCCACAGCATTTTAGTAATGAAGTTGAAAGTTCTTTGCCCTAATCAAAATAGAAATGGTAAAGAGAGGGTAAATATGAGTATGTACTAAAAGTTTCTAATCTCTTAACTATAAAAATGAAGTCAAATTTTATATGGACCCCCCAAAAGGTAATAAAGACCTAGTATATTTAGAAAGAACTAACCTTCATCTTGAATGCTCTGAAAAATTCACAAATCCCTAATTGAATCCAAAACCATTTACAAAATGTGAGTTTTCCTCCACACCATTCACAGATCCTGGATGGTTAGAGGCAACAGACTTCAGGAACGTGAACTCGCTGGTCCCTGATCCTCCCTTCAGGCACACCTCATACTGGTAGCTCTGGGACAGGGTCCCAGTACCGCTGACGTCCACCAGGTGGCCCGGAAAGTGGGCCTCAGGCACCGAGCAGCCGCCCACCAAGCCGGCCCTGCTCCTCCTGCACAGTCGCACGGCGACGAACGCCAGCACCGAGAACAGGAAGAGCGACGACACCGACGCCAACGCGATGACCAGGTAGACCGTGAGCAGGTCGGTCTGGGCCACCTCGGCCGCCGCTTCGGGGAGCGGCAGGTAGGGCTGTGAGAAGCCATCCACCAGCAGCACGTGCAGCGTGACGCTGGCTGACAGAGGCGGCTCGCCATTGTCCTTGACCAGCAGCAGCAGCCTGTGCTTGGCCGCGTCGCGCTCGCTCAGTAGCCTCGCGGTGCGCACCTCGCCGTTGTGCGCCCACACGCTGAACAGCCCGGGCTCTGTGGCCTTGAGCAGCTGGTAAGACAGCCAGGCGTTCTGGCCCGAGTCGCTGTCCACCGCCACCACCTTGCTCACCAGGTAGCCAGGTTCGGCCGCCCTGGGCACCAGCTCGGTGCAGGGCGCAGAGCCGTTCTGCAGCGGGTACAGCACGAAGGGCGCATTGTCGTTGGCGTCCAGCACCTGCACGCGCACCAGCGCCTGGCTGCTCAGCGCCGGGGACCCGCGGTCTGTGGCGCCCACCAGGAACTCGAATGCCTGCAGGGCCTCGAAATCCAGCGCCCTCAGGGCGAAGAGGTGTCCGTTGTCGGCGTTGATGGACACCAGCGAGTCCAGGGGCAGGCTGGGGTCCTGGGGCTGCAGCAGCGAGTAGGTGACCTGGGCGTTGGCGCCCGCGTCTCTGTCTGTGGCGCTGACGCTGCCCATGTGCAGGGCGGGGCTGTTGTTCTCTGGGATGAAGAGGGTGTAGGAGGTTTGGGTGAAGGCCGGGGCGTTGTCGTTGACGTCGGAGACCAGCACGGTTATGTTGTGCTGGGTCTTCAGCCTGGGAGTCCCCATGTCTGTGACGGTGATGGTGATGTTGTACTCCGCCTGGCGCTCTCTGTCCAGAGGTCCCTCTGATACCAGCTTGTAGAAATTCTCAACGGAAGGTTTCAGCATGAAAGGAACACCTTCCTGGATAGAACAAACCGTCCTGCCATTTTCCCCAGAGTCTGGGTCTCGAACACTGAAAAGAGCTATCATGGTTTCTGGGGAGTTTTCTGGGATAGAGCTTGTAAGTGAAGCCACCGTCAGTGCTGGGGTGTTGTCGTTTATATCCACCACCTGTATTATGACAGTGCATTTTCCAGAAAGACCTGCCCCATCAGACGCCTTAATATCCACCTCATATGACACAATTTTTTCAAAGTCTAGTTTCCTAATTATTTTCATTTCTCCTGTGAGTTCATTAAGTGCAAATGTCCTAGTAATCTCTTCATCACCGTAAAAAAACGAGTAGAACACTTCACCATTTATTCCCGTGTCTAAATCTCTAGCAGAAACGGTGACAACAAGGGACCCCAGAGGACTGTTTTCCAGGATTTGCGCACGATAGAGTGGCTGCGCAAACTCGGGGGCGTTGTCATTGACATCCAAAACATCAATGAGGACCCGGGCGGTGCCAGATTTGGGCGGAGCTCCGCCGTCTGCGGCCAGGAGAGTTAGCCTCAGCTCAGGCTGCTCCTCTCGATCTAGAGCCTTGTCCAGAACCAGCACCGGGTACTTTCTGCCCTCACTGCCATTTCTGGTAAGAACATGGAAATGGGAGTTGGGGAAGATGGTATAGTTTTGAACGTTATTGATGCCTACATCCAAATCTTGTGCATTTTTCAGGGGAAACACCGCCCCTGGAAGAGTATTTTCCATGATTTTTAAAATCATTTCTGCTTCTGGGAACACAGGTGGGTTGTCATTTATGTCACTGACCAAAAGCTTAAACTTATATACTTCCAAAGGTTCTTCCAGTAGCACCTGGAATTGCAGCTCACACGGCTCAGTGGGGCCACACAGTTCTTCCCGATCCAGTTTCTCATTCACTTGTAAATCTCCCGTCTGAAGGTTCAGCTGAAAGTGTTTTTTGTTGTTGTTAAAAATGACTCGAGCCCTCCTCCGAGACAGCTCTCTTACCTCTAACCCTATGTCCTTTGCTAGATTAGCCACAAAAGAACCACTCTCTGTTTCTTCTGCGACACTATAAGCTTCCCGTTCCGCGCAAGTCTGAGCCAGCAAAACAAAGAGAAGCAGGACTTGCCTTAGTGTGGGAAAGCGCTCCTCTTCAGCCTCCATTTTTCCAGCCCCTGAAGCCTTTAGGGCCGGATGCCTGTTGGGTCTGTAGGCAGCTGGTCCTGGGAATCGATCCTTACTGCAAGACAATTCCGTGAAGAATCCTCTTCTCTCAGCCTAGGTCTGTGTTACGACTGCCGGAACAGGAGCCCTCCGCGGGTCTGTTTTTCACAGCCTTAGCTTACAGCGCCACCATGTGTTGTACTTAAAACCTAGTTTGCTGGAAATGCTACACAACATACTTGTTTAGATTTTTGCACACACACAAAGCAACCACCACGGATTATACATAGGGTGATTTATAAATACAATGATAACGTCTATTTTCCTGTGAGGTTGTGAATGTGGACACGGTGCCAGCCACTTTGGAAATGATACAAGAGCAAAGCTAACTATATTATTTATTTGTTTATTCAACAAAACATTGATTTCATTTTATATGTCAGGCAGTATACTAAGTGCTGGGAATACTAATACCTCCTTGTTTTCCTGGAGTTTACAATATAATGTCTATAATATTGTATAGTCTGTACTCTTAGGGTTTGAGTGGAAAAAGATGTGTATCTATCAGTCTATTCCTAAAGAAATAAAATTCAACACTTTGCCAGCACTGTGAATGAAAAAATTCATTTACATACTTCAGGAGTATAAATTTAGGTGACACACAAGCTAGAACTGTTTCACTATGCAAACAAAATAGATAGTTCAAGGAATTGGGGATAACTTATTTGTAAATATTGTCTAAGGAGGCTGTCTCCATATCTCTGTAAGTGTTGTTGTATTGACTGCTACATTACCTAAAACAATCTGTGAAGAGCATCTACATCTATTACCAAAAGTCACTGAGATCTTGAAAAGTAGGAAAGTCAAGGCCATAAGAGAAAGGGCTGAAGTTACTGTAAAAATTAAAGTGCAGAAGAAAATAAGTTAGGTTCATCTGAAAGAGCAGATTAAACTTGTTCCCAAGTACCACAGATCACAATTTATGTTTAGCAAGCAACTCACATTGCTTCTGTGGATAGCATAAGACCCTGTCACTCTAGCATGGAACTGAAGTCCTTTTACTCCTAAGGATGGAAAAAATATCTTGTGGGCAAGGACCAATTGCATCAAACTCCAGACAATACTTTAATATTGTTTAAACAATAGACATTATCACATATTTTGGCACTCCAATTTCCTGGCTAATTGAGAAAACAGGTTGGGCCAAGTGTAAACATTGTGTTAAGTATTGGTTTCATTCTATTAAGGTACAAATTATTCAAATTGACATTCTATTTTAGAATGTTTTCCTCTATGTAGTAAAAGACATTTAGTTAAGTAAACCCTCAAAATATAAGAACATGCTGGTTATAGTTATACTTGATAATTGTCTTTATAGACCTTGGTCATGGATCCAAACACTTATTATGAAATTAATATGCAATAAAATGTGCCCTTAATGTTCATGCATTAAAAACATTAATCAATAGAAGCTGGTATCTACATCAATGAACAGATGAATCAAAATTAGTTTTTTATTTTCATCTGTCACTTCCCATAAAAAATTCCTCCTTATTTTTCTTTACTAAGGAGAAAATTTTCAAGCTTGCAAGCTCAGCAGGAAGCTTAAAATTTTTTCATGAGGCTTTTTAATAATGGAGTATGTGTCAATCAAATACTTATTACTCTTAATGAAATCATGATTCAACCCTTATAGTAATCTATACATTGTAGATACTGAAGATTTTACATTAAATAATAAAATAATTCTGTTCACAGTAAATAATTTTTAAAAGAAATAGATACTAAAGATGGTATGGGTATAGACCCCTAAACAATAACAGTGTTAGTGTTACCTTTGAAAACTGGTCCTGGAGCACATAAAATAATAGAAGGAAACCTGTTAATTTTTTGTAGCATATTTTCTGTTGGAAGACCTCATAAGTTATTTATGAAATTAAATTTTGTAACAAAATTCTCTAATATAAATTAGTTATCTCTAAGCTTGTATGTTTTTTATTTTTTCATCGGTTAATAATACAAGCATGTGACAAGAGACTTGGGTTTGCTGGTACGTGATCTAACTGAGTACTCAAGACTGCATGTATCTTTCTTGTTTCTTTTGGTTCCAGTATTGCCTCCCCCCCAACACCAATATGGGGTAAATAAAAGTTTTATTATTAGGAAACTGCAGTCTTATTGTAGAAGTCAAGGACAATTAGACATTGGGGACTCAGGCAGAAGCTGATAGGTCTAGAACCAAGTAGGCATCTCAGTCTCTATTGTTCTGCTTCCTTCATCCCCTTATTCCTTCCCACCTTTATCTTTCCTTTCCTTCCTTCTTTCCCCATCTCTGCATGAGATTCTGTGCTGCCAGTCCAAAAAGGAATAAACATGGTTGCCTCGGCCCACATTTATTTCCCATTTACAAGCAATCAAGAAAAAAATAGATGAACTACATCTCCATTGCCAATTTATGGGCTTGGAGAATGTGACTACTTCTGCTTTAATCAGGAATCTATCACTGGACCATTCAAAAGTGGTCAGAAGAAGTAAAGAAAAATAGAACAAACATCTTGATAGTAATTCTCTCCCTTGGGTCATACTGGGAAGCTCTCAGTAAAGAAGTGTGGCTGGATATATCCCTTAACTCAAACAAGATCAGAATTTATTTTAATACAGCACCACTTACCAGTAGTACACACAGTTCACAAAATATTTCTGCAGAGAATACCTAAATGGGTAAAAAATTATCTGAGATACTTGACAGAAGAGAATGGAAAGATTATATTTTTTAAAATCTTTAAAAGATACATTAAAAATCAACCTAATCAGATGAGAAAGCAATTATGTTTTTATTCAGATCATGCATTTTTCTTTAAAACAATAATGCTAAACATATAAAAACTGTTTTAGAGAGAACATCTAGAGCCCAGAACACTCACAGAAGATGACTGAGCAGAGTGTGCAATTAAGCTTGAAGGGAAAATGCTAACTAGAGGGTGGGCAAATGTAGGTTTGCAGTTGTGAGTACACAAACACAGTTTATTCTCATATTAATATTTATTAATCATTGTATTATTTTCCATACAAACAACTGTAAACCTACTTGTGCTTCACCCTGTATTTAAATAAATTATTTGAGAAAAAAAAAACTAAACAAAATTTAGCTCCCTCGGATTTTTCACAGTTAACATAAAGAATAGCAGGATGTAGACATTGAAATTTCTGAGCTACTAGTGAAGTTTCCCAAAAGAAAGAATTTTACATTAAGATGAATAAATTTACAAAGAAGTAGCACTCATTCTCAAAGTTTTACATAATAATGAAATCCCTAATTGAACCCAAAGCCATTCAGAAAGGCGTGGCTTTCCTCCATTTCAGGATTTTGAGGTGGGAGGTTGGGAATAATGGGTTTAAGGAACTTAAATTCACTGGTCCCAGAGCCTCCGGTCAGACACACCTCATACTGGTAGCTCTGGGACAGGGTCCCAGTACCGGTGACGTCCACCAGGTGGCCCGGAAAGTGGGCCTCAGGCACCGAGCAGCCACCCACCAAGCTGGCCCTGCTCCTCCTGCACAGCCGCACCGCGATGAACGCCAGCACCGAGAACAGGAAGAGCGACGACACCGACGCCAGCGCGATGACCAGGTAGACCGTGAGCGGGTCAGTCTGGGCCGCGGCGGCCGCCACTTCGGGCAGAGGCAGGTAAGGCTGAGAGAAGCCATCCACCAGCAGCACGTGCAGCGTGACACTGGCTGACAGAGGCGGCTCGCCATTGTCCTTGACCAGCAGCAGCAGCCTGTGCTTGGCCGCGTCGCGCTCACTCAGCAGCCTCGCGGTGCGCACCTCGCCATTGTGCGCCCACACGCTGAACAGCCCGGGCTCTGTGGCCTTGAGCAGCTGGTAAGACAGCCAGGCGTTCTGGCCCGAGTCGCTGTCCACCGCCACCACCTTGCTCACCAGGTAGCCAGGCTCGGCCGCCCTGGGCACCAGCTCAGTGCAGGGCGCAGAGCCGTTCTGCAGCGGGTACAGCACGAAGGGCGCATTGTCATTGGCGTCCAGCACCTGCACGCGCACCAGCGCCTGGCTGCTCAGTGCCGGGGACCCGTGGTCTGTGGCGCCCACCAGGAACTCGAATACCTGCAGGGCCTCGAAATCTAGCGCCCTCAGGGCGAAGAGGTGGCCATTGTCGGCACTGATGGACACCAGCGAGTCCAGGGGCAGGCTGGGCTCCTGGGGCTGCAGCAGCGAGTAGGTGACCTGGGCGTTGGCGCCTGCGTCTCTGTCTGTGGCGCTGACGCTGCCCATGTGCAGGGCAGGGCTGTTGTTCTCGCGGATGAAGAGGGTGTAGGAAGTTTGGGTGAAGGTTGGGGCGTTGTCATTGACGTCGGAGACCAGTATGGTTATGTTGTGCTGGGTTTTCAGTCTGGGAGTCCCCAGGTCTGTGACTGTGATTGTGATGTTGTACTTGGTACTGGTTTCTCGGTCCAGTGGCCGCTCTGTTACCAGGGTGTAGAAATTCTTGAAAGTGGGCTTCAAGAGAAAGGGGAGATTGTCTTCAATTGAGCAAACCATCTTCCCGTTATCTCCAGAGTCTTGATCTCGTAAGCTAAAAACAGCGACCACCATTTCAGGTGACGCATTTTCTGGTATGGGGCTGGTGAGAGATGTTATGACTATTTCAGGTGGGTTGTCATTCACGTCTACAACGTGAACTAAAATTGCTGATTTTCCCGAGAGGCTCCCACCGTCTACGGCCTGAATATTTATTGTATAAGACTGAATTAACTCAAAATCCAGAAGCGCTTTTAAATGGACTTCGCCAGAAATTGGATGGATGTCAAATGTTTTCCGTATGTCTCTGGAGATGTGGGAAAATGAATAAGATAGTTCTCCATTTATTCCTGCATCTAAATCTGTGGCAGACACCTTGATGACTAAAGCGTCCAGAGGGCTGTTTTCTGGTACCTGAACCTCATAGACAGGCCTCTCAAACTCCGGGGCATTGTCATTGATATCTAAAACCAAAATACGAACCACCGCAGTTCCGGACCTGGGCGGAGACCCTCCATCCCAGGCTGTTAGCATTAATCTAAGCTCAGGCTCCTTTTCTCGATCCAGGGATTGGTCCAACACAAGCTCTGGATATTTTCTGCCCCCCTCACTGTCTTGTAATTTAAGGTGGAAATGAGGATTCGGACTTAATGTGTAGTTTTGGACAGCATTCTTTCCTACATCCAAATCCTGAGCACTCTCCATTTGGAATGAGGTTCCTGGAGCAGTACCTTCTGAGATTTTCAGAAGTATATCTTTATCTAGGAACGTGGGAGTGTGATCATTGATGTCTTTGACCCAAAGCTCAGCCCGAAAAAATTGCAAAGGATTTTCAAATAATACCTGGAAATGTAATATACATGGCTCGGTGAGGTCACAAAGTGTCTCCCTGTCCAACTGCTCATTTAAGAGCAAGTTGCCAGTCTGCTGGTCCAGCCATAAGTATGGTTTATAATCATCAAAGATGACTCTGGCTCCCCGCGCAGCAAGGTCTTCCACCACACCCTCATCACTGAGGTCTTTCACCACGTTGGCTATAAAGGAGCCCATCTCCGTTTCCTCTGCCACAGAATAGCACAAGGTCTCTGAACACGCTGCAGACCCTCCCAGGAAAACAAAGAAAAGCAGCACTTGCCTTATATGCTGAGGGCGTCCCAGCTCCATGGCTCCTTAGGTGAATGCCTTTCTGCAGAAACTCAACCTCAAACAGCTCTGGGAGATGCTCCTCTCTATCAGTCCAAACCTTTGGTACTCTATAGATTTATAATCCTATCGCGAGGGTGTTTTGGCTGCCTAGCTTGCTTTTGAAAGCCTCTTTCCCCTCCCTGTTTCTTCCGCGCTCTCAGTTCCACTGGTCAACGGAAGCCAGAGCTTCTGCTGTAACAGAAATTACCCTGTCTTATCCTGCAGCGCCACCACGCGACTCTGCAGATCCTCAGACTTTAAACAAATCTGGTAAAGTTGAGACAAAATATTAATTTACCTTGTGTGTTTATTGATAGATTTAAAGTGTATTTTCCTGTATATTCATATTTTCTTTCTGAGTTGCATCCTTTGTGATATGTGATGCTGCTGCTATTCATTCTTTAACACAATAAACCAAAACTGTGCTGGATATAAAAAGCATATTTAAGATACAGCCCCAAACTCAAATGAGTTATGCTCTCTTGGCTTCAAATAATTTATGGGGACATTATATAAAACAACTAAACATAGTTAAGATGACTCTTTTATGTAATGGACTTAGTGAGCAAGAGGTTCCCAGAGACACTGGAGGTCTCAGTTGTCTCTGGCTATCAGCAAATACTCTAAGACAATAAGGTCATGCACCGGGAAATGAACTTGGTATATGCAAATTATTGTTTGGGGGAGGCTGACATTTCTGGCTGGGTAAATGGTACCATTTATTCAGGTATGTTCCATAGGAGGCTTATCTGGCAACAGTAGAAAGTAAATACTCAACAGTAGTGAGAGAAGTAAGATGTATTCAGTTTCTGAACATTAAAAAAAGTTGACCAAACTAGACCCTAGTTTAGTTGTGGAACTGGTTTCCATTTTGCAGACCCAGGTCTTCCAAAGGCATAATTCTATATATTTTATTCATCCATTCAGTAATTTGTTCAGCAGATATTTACTGAGCATACACTTTGTGGTAGGCATGGTGATAAGTGTTAAGAATAGAGTGGTGAACAGACAGACATAGCTTCTGTCCTGAAGGATGGAGGAAGAAAAGTGATCCCGCATTTAAAATGGAGCATACCAAATGCCATGATGGAAAATGTTTATGCTACTATAAGAGCAAAAATGAGGGTTATCCAACCAGAATTTGGAAGTACCAGGAAAGACTTTTATGGAAAAAGGATATTCTAAATTGATACAAGAAAGACAAGTATGAGTAATCTAAACAAAAATTCCATGTGAAGTAAAACTAACTTTCATTTCCAGGAAAACTAAAAACATGATATCCAAAATGAAAGAAGTGTTTTGGAAGAACTGACATAGCATTGGTATGGTTGAGCCCTACAGCAAAAGGAGATAAATTTTGAGAGTTGAGATTGGAAAGATAAGCAGATATTCTGTGAGCCATGCCAAGGCATTTGGACTCGACATCAGTGGAAATGTAAGAGTATTAAAGGGTTTTAAACAGAAAAATGGCATGAACATGTTTTTATTTTTCAAAAGATCATCGTATTTCATAATTGAGAATAAATTGGAAAGAAGTAAGACTAGAGACAAGAAATTGATTAGACATTGTTGCAGGAAATGCAGGCAAGTGATGAGATTGGCCTCAATGAGAAATGCAGTAATTAAAATGATCAAGGTACACTATATTGGATGTGGTGATAGATTAGATATAGAGGCACTGGAATAAGAAGGAGTGAAAGTAAATGTACTTTTTTCTTAGGCTTAGGGAACTGAATAAGTGATGGTGCTATTAACTGATAAAGTAAAGACAGGGAGAGGAGAGGAGAGAAATGGATATAGAGCTATAGAAGATTTCATTCTGAGGAAGGGAAAACTTTAACTTAAAACATGTTGAGTTCGATGTGCCCATAGAGTATCCATATAAGTAGTTATGTGATGAGATTTCATTACATAAATGCAGTTGAGAAAATAGGTTTGGGTTGCAAAGACAAAATTAGAATTTACTGGTATATGTGGTGATTGAAGTTATTTTAGAAAGAGTGTAACTTGTAGATTAAGAAAAGTATGTTTGAATTTGTGATTTTAGCTCTTAGAGACTGCCATCTCCAGAGAGGGGCCATAGTTGTAAGTGATGAGACTAGATTAGATGCAGACTAGATGAAGAAGGCTAGAAACAGGTCAAACTCTCGTACTCACACAGAGAAAAACTATAAGAAGTTATATTTGAGAGTAAAATGTCTTTATAGCAGTTCTTTCTCATGATCTTGATTCATTTAAAACCAAGCTGATATCCAGTTGATTTGATTCTCTCATTTGCTGACTTTAATGTGCAAAGACTATTTAGGCAGGACCGTTTGCTAACTTCTTTCAGCACGCTGAAAAAAGCTTGTTGTCTTTTAGTTTCCATTGCTGCTGTTGAGAAATTGTCAACATGCAACGTAGCTGTCAGTCTAACAGTCTTGTGTTCAAAGGTTAAATGTTTTTTCCCCTTTAAGAAAAAGATTTCTCTGTATTTGGTTTTCTGAAATTTCACAATGCTTTTTCTAGCCATGGTTATTTTGTATTTATCTTGCTAGATTTATTTGGAACTCTTGAATTTGCATTGATGGGTGTATCAATTCCATAAAATTCCTAGCAATAACTTTTTTCAAATATCACTTCTGAACAAATCATTCTCATTGATCCTTCTGTGATTCTAGTTAAATGCATGTTGACCGTTTTGACCATTTGCCTGTGTTTCTAACCATCTTCTTGGCATTTGTCATCTTATTAACTCTTGAGCTGCATACTGGGTAAATTATGTTCCAACCTCTTTCATCCATGAATTCTTCATTTGGGTGTATCTAATTTTATATTAAAACTCTGATTCACTTTTAAATTTTGATAATCATATTTTTCAGTTTTAGAAGTTCTGTTCTATTCTTTTGAATTTATTATTTCTTGTTGTCTGTACATCTTCAAGTATAACTTGTTTCCGTTGCAGTAGTTAGCATATTACAGACTATGTTTGATAATTAAAAATTTGAAGTGTTTGCAAGTTAATTTCTGGGTTCTCACTCACAGTGTTATGTTGCTTTGTGAATGCAGTTATCTTTGTGTTCAAGTTAAGAACACAAAATTATTTATATAAATAATTCTAGGCTTACGATGAAAAAACATTTAAAGAATGTCTGCATTTGGTTCTATCAGGGCCTGGGAGCACTATCTGTCAATGACCACCTCAAATGAATTTCACTGCTAAAAATCAAGTTCAAAGCTAATAATACACACAAGGGCTCACCTACCCATTCATAAAGCTGTAGCTCTTAGGGATTTATATTTATCAATATGAGGGTCTCCTATAAACTTCTCAATTTGTTATGCTTTGTCTCCCTTTTTATATAAACCATCAAAATAGAGGCTCACATTTCCCAGGATTCCAGATGTTCCCAGGGAAAAAGTGGACTTGGGGCTCATTTATCTCTCTAGGCTACTTTTATTTTATTTTATTTTTTTGAGGAACCTTTAGTGTAACCATGCCTAATGATATTCTCAATCCAGTGACTGTTTCAAAAACAGGCAAAAACTTTTTTTTCTTTTTCCAGATGTTTCTTTCTAATGAATTGACCATTACATTTCCTAAGTTCTGGAATGGCCAACAGACCACAGAAAGACAAATGCTTTAGGCTCCTGCTTGAAACCAGCAGCTTCAGCAAACTGCTGGCCTTGGTTCAGGGCCAACTCTCTAGGCTACCTTTAAGTAGTACCTGCAACCTGACAGTATATGTGTCTTATTAGAGCATTGTTTTCAGTGAAAGTGTTGGTCTATAGAATCTATATCATTCTTATTAAAAGTGTAAAATATCCAGAATGTTATTGTGTCTCAAAATTACAAGTAAACTGGTAGCTTCCATGGGGCATGGGCAACTGATCTCAAGAGCAAAGAGAAATAATCAATACTAAGTCAACTCCATAATGCTGCAACCAATTTAAACAATCTGCCTTTCACCCAGATTCAACAGCATTTTTAAGTTTTGCTTTATCTATGCTTTAATGAAAGGTCTAGAAGTAAATCACATACATTGTGGGGTTCGCTCTTAAAACATTCATTTGCGACTCCAAATAATCAACATCTTCTTGCATAACACCATTACCATAACAACAATTAGTAATAACTTCATTAACATACCATTTAACTTTTTAAAAATTGATTTGAAAGAGAGAGAAACGTTGATTTGTTGTTCCACTTATTTCTGTACTCATTGGTTGACTCCTGTATGTGCCCTGACCCACATCCAACCCTCAGCTTGGACATGTCAGTACTGGGCTCTAACCAACTGAGTGATCTGGCCAAGGCTGATATGCCTTTTTTGACAAAATAAAAAAATTTTTAAAGATTTTATTTATTTATTTTTAGAGAGAGGGGAAGGGAGAGAGAAACAGGGAAAGAAACATCAGTGTGTGGTTGCCTCTTGTGCGCCCCCACCTGGAGACCTGGCAGGCAACCCATACATGTGCCCTGACTGGGAATGGAACCAGCAACTCTTCGATTCCCAGGCTGGCACTCAATCCACTGAGCCACACCAGCCAGGGCAAATTTAAAAAACAAAACAAAACAAAACCAGAAAACACACAAATTGTTTCTATTTCATCATAGCCACTAAAAATGATTTTTAAAGCAAGTGCAAGAGCATGAGAAATAATGAATGCAACTACTATACAACCAAAATTCACTACAACTTGGCAAAATGTTTCCAGTCAGGCAAGAATAATTAAAGATTAAATGTTCAGACTTTATACTGAACGTTGAATCCAGAGCTGTTCCTACAGTTCTCGTTTTCCTCTACGTTCCTACCAGTGTCATGGGCTGGAAGACTGGGAATAATCGGCTGCAGAAATTTAAATTCATCTGTCCCCATACCTCCCATCAGACACACCTCATACTGGTAGCTCTGGGACAGGGTCCCAGTACCGCTGACATCCACCAGATGGCCCGGAAAGTGGCCCTCAGGCACCGAGCAGCCATCCACCAAGCCAGACCTGCCCCTCCGGCACAGCCGCACCGCGATGAACGCCAGCACCGAGAACAGGAAGAGCGACGACACCGACGCCAGCGCGATGACCAGGTAGACCGTGAGCGGGTCTGTCTGGGCCGTGTCGGCCGCCGCTTCGGGCAGAGGCAGGTAGGGCTGCGAGAAGCCATCCACCAGCAGCACGTGCAGCGTGACACTGGCTGACAGCGGAGGCTCGCCATTGTCCTTGACCAGCAGCAGCAGCCTGTGCTTGGCCGCGTCGCGCTCGCTCAGCAGCCTCGCCGTGCGCACCTCGCCATTGTGCGCCCACACGCTGAACAGCCCGGGCTCTGTGGCCTTGAGCAGCTGGTAAGACAGCCAGGCGTTCTGGCCCGAGTCGCTGTCCACCGCCACCACCTTGCTCACCAGGTAACCAGGCTCAGCCGCCCTGGGCACCAGCTCGGTGCAGGGCGCAGAGCCGTTCTGCAGCGGGTACAGCACGAAGGGCGCGTTGTCATTGGCGTCCAGCACCTGCACGCGCACCAGCGCCTGGCTGCTCAGCGCTGGGGACCCGCGGTCTGTGGCGCCCACCAGGAACTCGAAAGCCTGCAGGGCCTCGAAATCCAGCGCCCTCAGGGCGAACAGGTGTCCGTTGTCAGCGTTGATGGACACCAGCGAATCCAGGGGCAGGCTGGGGTCCTGGGGCTGCAGCAGAGAGTAGGTGACCTGGGAGTTAACGCCCGCGTCTCTGTCTGTGGCGCTGACGCTGCCCATGTGCATGGCGGGGCTGTTGTTCTCTGGGATGAAGAGGGTGTAGGAGGTTTGGGTGAAGGCCGGGGCGTTGTCGTTGACATCAGAGACCAGCACGGTTATGTTGTGTTCAGTTTTCAGTCTGGGAGTCCCCATGTCTGTGACGGTGATTGTGATGCTATACTTGTCTCTCATCTCTCTGTCCAGTGCTTTTTCAGTAACCAGAGTGAAGAAATTCTTAAGCGTGGGTTTCAGAATAAATGGGAGATCATCTTGAATAGAGCAAACCATTCTTCCGTTGTCCCCAGAGTCTTGGTCTCGAATACTAAAAACAGCAACAAGGGTCTGTGGCGAATTTTCTGGAACTCTGTTTGTAATTGATGACATGGTCACTTCTGGTGCATTATCATTTACATCCAATACTTTTATCAGAAGAGTACATTTTTCTGAAAGACCCCCACCATCTGTTGCCTGAATATTTATAGTGTAGGACTGTATTACTTCAAAATCCAAGCTAGATCTCAAACGAACTTCCCCAGATGTAGAGTTGATTTCAAATGTTTTACGAATGTCTTCAGATGCATGGAAAAATATGTAAGATATCTTCCCATAGTTTCCTGCATCCAGATCCTTAGCCGAGGTGGTGATTATCCAGGAGCCAATGGCTGTGTCCTCCAGGACCTGCACCTCATAGAGCTTCTGAGGAAACTCGGGGGCATTGTCATTGACGTCCAAGACCTCTATGAGAACCGAAGTTGTCCCAGACCTGGGTGGGGATCCACCATCCAGCGCTACAAGTGTTAATCTGACCTCAGGCTCCTTTTCGTGATCTAACATTCTGTCCAGGACCAGTTCTGGGTATATCTCTCCATCACCACTGTCTTGAACTTTAATGGAGAAATGAGAATTGGGGCTGATTGTGTAGTTTTGGAGACTGTTGCTTCCTATGTCCAAATCTTGGGCACTCTCCATTAGGAATTTGGTTCCGAGAGTCGTACTTTCTGATATTTTCAAAAGTATTTCCTTATCCAAGAATGTAGGGGAGTGATCATTTATATCTCTGATGTGCAGCTCAACCAAAAAAAACTTTAAAGGGTTTTGCAGTAACACCTGAAAATGCAACACACAGGGCTCCGTGGAGCCACAGAGCTCTTCTCGGTCTAGTCTCTCACTTAGGAGCAAATCCCCAGTCAGCAAATTCAGGTGCAAATGCTTCTCATTATCATCAGAAACTATCCGGGCCTCCCGTGAGGACAGCTCCTCCACCCCAAGCCCCAGATCCCTTGCCAGATTGGCCACAAAAGAGCCAATTTCTTTTTCCTCTGCCACAGAATAGCGCACCGATTCAGGCCCCGTTTCAGACAATCCCAGCAAAACAAAGAAAATCAAGACTTGCCTTTTCCGCAGAGTGAGCGCTCCTCTGATCTCCATGGTTCCTTCAAGCAATCTCTTTTGTGGAAAAATGTAAGTTTAGTCCCAATTTTGGAAGATAGAGCTCTGATTTATTTTATAGGTAACCCTTGGAAGGTGCATAGCCCCCCAGCAGCTCTGAAAGTGAAGCTCCTGAATACCTCTCTTTCCAATGGGTTGGATGTTCTGTTCTCTGGAATAAAGGAGCCCACAGCGTGTCCTGTTTTCGTCTTGTCCTGCAGCGCCACCATGTGTCTCTATGAGTTTTTTTCAGTAATTTTTTTTCTCTAAAGAATTCATGAATACATCTGGAGTATTTTCAAGCAAATCCCAGACAGCATCTTTTTACCTCTAAACACTTCATTAAGTATCTGTAGTAGATAAGGACTTCAGAAATATAATTACTATGCTACTATCACAATCAACACATTTAGCAATAATTCCTTGATATAATTTATACTCATGCTGTGTTTGGTTTTCCCAGTTTCCTCCAAGAATGTTTTTTTAAGTTGTTGATTTGTTTGAATTTGGATCCATAAAGGTCTCTATAGTGACTTTAATTATCACTGTTTTGAATGCCCAACAAGGGGAATCCATACAAATGTCTTGAACTGAATAAATGATATTTTATTCAGGCCATTTCTTAACTAACTGCGAATATATTCTCCCTTCAACTCTTGTAAATACTTGAGTTCAGTCAATTATAGTTAGTAACATCATTATTTTTTCACTTATATATTTTTAGAAATGCACATGTAAAGACATAGCATATAAGATAGGGATAATCCTTGTCTTTATGGAGCTCACAGGCTATAAAATTTGGTGGTAAGCAATTAAAATATGTTACAACGTATGCATAAGTGAAGAGTAATACAGAAAGACCTAGAAGGAACATCTTAGAACTAGGAGGGAGCAGAGCATGATGATTAGGATCATAGATTTAAAAACCAAAATGTCTACATTAGAATTCTAGTCCGCCACTTACTACCTGCAGTCTTGGGCAAGTTATGTACCTCTATTTCCCAATCTGTAAATTGGGGTAATAATAGTATTTAGCTCCTAGTATTATCATCGTCTGACATGGTAAGGATCTATAACACTTTATATCTCTTTAAGCTAGTGGTCCTCCTTCCTTTCCCCGACTAAGTACAGGAAAGACAGGAAGTAATGTTAATACTCAACTGATTTATTAATATTATATGAGTTTTTGTTGCAGCTTTCATTTAGGGGAGAAAGGCTTGCTCTTAGTTCCAATTCTGAAAATGGAAAATTAGAATTTAATTAGACTGCATATAGAGACTTTGGTACCCTCCATTTTTCTTGAATTCAAAGACCAATTAATCAGCCCACACAGTTCAAAGGAACTGGTAGTGAAATCTTGGCTTTCAAGGAATTTAAACATCAGATCGTTTTTGATTTGTTAGAGACTGTACTCCCTGGCAATGTTAACTGACCCAGCCCCTCTACAATGTTAAGATAAAGTTTTAAAATATCCTCAAGAGGCGGTTTCTGGCACTGATTCTAGTCTGTGGCACTAGAAGCAATAGAAACAACCAGTTCACTCATTCTTACTCACCTTCTCTTTCCAATACCTCTGTTCTGTCTTTGCCTCTCACACACGCACACGCTCCCTTTCCCTCTACACCCTCACTCATTTTGTCCATCTACACTTTCTTGCCACAACATATAAGTTTTAGATTTTTAAATAAAATTTATTGAAAAACTCCACCCCCCAAAATGAAGGCTTTTTTCCTCTGTAATGTAGCCACATCACTACGGGCAAGAGTGTTGGCTGGTTCCTGTGCAGCAGGAAAGAAAGCTTCCTTCTACCATGGTTTGAATTTTCTTTAAAAATTAGAATCTTGCTCTGACCAGAATGGCTCAGTTGGTTGGGCATCGTCTCACAAACAAAGGGCCACTGGTTCCATTCCCTATCAGGGCACATACCTGGTTGGGGTGCACACAAGAGGGAAAACCAATGCTTCTCTCTCACATCATGTTTCTCTTCCTCTCTTGCTCCCTCCCTTCCCCTCTCTCTAAAAATTAAAAAAAAAAGAATCTTAAAGCACTATGTGTTTATATTTTTCAATGTTCTACATGTATCTCTGAGAAAAGGGGACTTCAGACTTTGGATTGCTACCCATGAGTATGTCATTAAATCAAATTATGATGATCACATTTGACAACTAAATAGAACGGAGTAATATATGCAATCTTAGATTGCATCAACAGGAAAGCTAAGCATTATTTTAAAACATTTTTTTCTATGTTACATAATATGTACAAAATATTTTTTCTATTGATTGTGTAGTTTTAAATTTGAAAATTAGTACCCTCTGTGTGTGTGTGTGTATATATGTACACAGGAGGCCAAAAATTATACACAGTAGCACACAAGTCTACTCTACACTATACAAAATATTATTCAGCTGCCTGCTTTCAACAGGGTTGCATTATAGCTTTGTAACATTCACGATACATCTGGAAAGTCATAACTTCACATTCCATTGATTCTGTGAGTGGTCACAATATTAACGTGTCTTCACAATCATGCTTTAGGATGAGCAATGAAGAGATGCTAAGAAAATTGCCCTCTGCCTCTTTCTAACGAGGTGATTGCATCATGCTTGTATCATTGGACATGATCTTTCAGGTATATTTTCACTAGTAACACCCATCTTATGTTTTATTTAATTTTATTTTTTTTAGAGAAAGAGAAAGGGGTGGAGAAGGAGAGGGAGAGAAACATCTATTGGCTGCCTCTTACATGCCCCCACCTGGGGACCTGGCCAACAAATGGGGCACATGCCCTGGCCAGAATCTAACAGTGACCTTTCTTTCCTCACAGGCAGACACTCAACCCACCGAGCCAGACCAGGCAGAGCACATGTTAAAACGTGACTAAAATGCAGTGGATTTAATGACAGAAAATGACATTTCTAAATAGCCACCATTATTAAACCCCAAGAAACACTGCTTAAAAAAATGAAGGAATGTTTAAACAGTTAAATAAGTTGAAAGTGGTGTGCTTTATTTTACTATAGGTATAATTGTGGGTGAAAGTTCAATTGGAGAGAGGGTCAGAAACAAACAGTGATTTGGTATTAATATTATTTAAGGAGGCAAATTAATTACAAATCAAGACCTCCTGGGTTAGAGAATAAGTTACCACCTCATTACAACCACAGATAATGATGAACACTCACTTAAAAGTAAAGGTAGGGAGAACATGTGAAAATATAAAACTAACAACAGTACAATTTAAAATACCCACAAATTGAGGGATAACATGTATAGAAGTGGCACAAAAACAAAATACATTCGGGGTATGAAGGGTAATTATGGTCACTGAATATTGAACCCAAAGCTATTACGGAAGGTAGGACTTCCCTCTATTTCTTTCCCGGGGCACTGGGGCGGGATGTTGGGGATAATCGGCTTCAGAAATTTAAACTCATCTGTTCCCATACCTCCTGTCAGACACACCTCATACTGGTAGCTCTGGGACAGGGTCCCAGTACCGCTGACGTCCACCAGGTGGCCCGGAAAGTGGGCCTCAGGCACTGAGCAGCCACCCACCAGGCTGGCCCTGCCCCTCCGGCACAGCCGCACCGCGATGAACGCCAGCACCGAGAACAGGAAGAGCGACGACACCGATGCCAACGCGATGACCAGGTAGACCGTGAGCGGGTCAGTCTGGGCCTCGGCAGCTGCCACTTCAGGCAGCGGCAGGTAGGGCTGTGAGAAGCCATCCACCAGCAGCACGTGCAGCGTGACACTGGCTGACAGCGGAGGCTCGCCATTGTCCTTGACCAGCAGCAGCAGCCTGTGCTTGGCCGCGTCGCGCTCGCTCAGCAGCCGCGTAGTGCGCACCTCGCCGTTGTGCGCCCACACGCTGAACAGCCCGGGCTCTGTGGCCTTGAGCAGCTGGTAAGACAGCCAGGCGTTCTGGCCCGAGTCGCTGTCCACCGCCACCACCTTGCTCACCAGGTAGCCAGGCTCGGCCGCCCTGGGCACCAGCTCGGTGCAGGGCGCAGAGCCGTTCTGCAGCGGGTACAGCACGAAGGGTGCATTGTCATTGGCGTCCAGCACCTGCACGCGCACCAGCGCCTGGCTGCTCAGCGCCGGGGACCCGCGGTCTGTGGCGCCCACCAGGAACTCGAATGCCTGCAGGGCCTCGAAATCCAGCGCCCTCAGGGCGAACAGGTGTCCGTTGTCGGCATTGATGGACACCAGCGAATCCAGGGGCAGGCTGGGGTCCTGGGGTGGCAGCAGCGAGTAGGTGACCTGGGCGTTGGCGCCTGCGTCTCTGTCTGTGGCGCTGACGCTGCCTATGTGCATGGCGGGGCTGTTGTTCTCTGGGATGAAGAGGGTGTAGGAGGTTTGGGTGAAGGCCGGGGCGTTGTCGTTGATGTCGGAGACCAGCACGGTTATGTTGTGTTCAGTTTTCAGTCGGGGTGTCCCCATGTCGGTGACGGTGATGGTGACATTATACTGGGCCCTACTTTCTCTGTCCAGTGTTCCGGCCGTTTCCAATGTATAATAATTGTTTCCCGAAGGTTTTAGCGTGAAGGGGAGGTCTTCTGGGATGGAACAAAACATCCTCCCATTGTCCCCAGAATCTCTGTCTCGGATACTAAAAACCACAACTACAGTCTCAGGTGAATTTTCTGGGATTGGACTGGTAATTGATGACACAGTGACTTCAGGAGCATTGTCGTTTACATCCACCACCTGAATTCTGACTGTTGATTTCCCAAAGAGCCCTCCCCCATCTGTGGCTTGAATAATTATTGAATATGATTCAGTTGTTTCAAAATCCAACGATGCCATTAAACTAACTTCTCCAGACTTTTGATTAATTTCAAATGTCTTGTGAATGTCTTCAGAAGCATGAGAAAATGTATATGATATTTCCCCATTCTTTCCCGCGTCTAAATCCCGAGCTGAGACAGTGACAACCAGTGAGCCTAGAAAGCTGTTCTCCGGAATCTTCACCTCATAAAATGGCTGCTCAAACTCCGGGGTGTTGTCATTAATGTCCAAGACCACCACCCGAACCGAGGCCGACCCGGACCTGGGCGGGGACCCGCCATCCAGAGCAGTGAGTATGAGACTGAGCTCCGACTGCTCTTCATAATCCAGAGACTTGTCC